ATATAAATATAAAAATTATTTACATATAAATAGTTATAAATGGTCAAATAAAATCATAAATAACTGAAATAGTTATTGGTTAAATTTTTTAAACGTTTTACCATGAAAACCTATTTTATATTTTTTTTTATTATATTTTGCCCTTTTTATTGTACTTTATTAAACTTTGTACATATATTTGGAAGCAAAATGTGTAGGATTTACTTAATTTATTAATACATAACTACTCTATCAATGTGGCTTATATATGCATAAACTCATATATATTTATGTTTTCATTTTATATTTGATATTTATATTTTATATTTCATTTTATGTTCGTCCATTATAAGCTTAGGTAATAAATGAATTTCAAATATAAATTAGAAAGTAATATCACAAAAATTATTAAGTAGCTATGTAAGTAGAGAACAATATTTCTTTGTATATATTTTTATATCCATATACAATAAATCCGCATAAAAATAATTTTATACCGAAAATATATACATATACACTGAATGCATGAGTACTATATACATTATAAGGTACCTAACGCTAATCCTAGCTATTACTATAAAACTGTATTAATACACATGTATCATTATTATACACAAAATATTTTATCAGCTAAGTAGTAATTTAAATAGTAATAACAATAATGGTGGTATTTTTATTGAGTTAAAAACAAGTCAATTACAAAAAGAAAATATATATATTTAAACTAACTTCTTTTATTATTGAACGTTACTTGTATTAAGCTCAATAGCATTAAACTAATAATCGCATAAGTTCATGATTTCAATTAACATTGCCATATTCTAAGCAAAAATAATATCATAAAATAATATTAATTAATATCAAATTAATATTTATTATCATATATATATACTACTTTATCTTTAACAAAAAATTTTTCTATATCTATATTCCCAAATTTTCTTTAGTATTTTAATTAACAATTTAATATACTTGTTTTATTAACTCTAACTTATTAAATTAAGATTCCAAATAAATCATTTGTATTACCCATTATAAACGATTTTCACTCGAATATCATCGCTTTCTATTGTCTGTGTAGGCATTTTTATTTGGTACCAGAACTCTTCTTCCTACTGAAAAAAGATTATATTATTATCAAGCAAAGCAACATTAATAGAAATAAATTAATTACACAATGATAAACATTGCAATAGATATTTGATTATAAATTTGTTATTTATTTATACATTCTTTCCTAAATAACTTTTCTCCTCAAACTAGTAAAATATACAAATTTTGTAATTAAGATTTTTATATTCAGAAATAATATAATGTAACTGTAATGTTCCTAAATCAGTTACTATAACAGTTTATTATGACATAATAAACGAGAACGACATGATTAAGAACCTACAAATTCAAAAGAACAATTCTCTATATTTATTCTTATACGTTTTAAAGATCAATTAAAATAATTTAAACTTACAAACTAAAGTACTTAATGATCATTGTAATACACAAAAACTAGTTCAATTGAACTATCTCAATTTTCATATACGTACAAGTTTTAATTCGAGCACGAAGATTTTTTCCGAAAAATGCTTGAATTTCTACGTCAAATAAAATATTTTGCTGTATTTCTTCAAAAGAAAGAAACGGTTGTCTTATTTCATAAATTATTTGCTAGAAAGAATCATATAACAAACACAAAATTGGAAAGCACTTAACATAGCAAAACGCGTTATCACTTGGCAGCCGCCATGTTTATTAGATACACATCTTCCTAAGGATATCTCTATTTTCCCTATAAAACGACGCATATGTATAGGTATATTCCATTTATCAGAAATATTTATCTTTCGAAAGAATTTATTAAAAAAATTTGAGCAAAAATTTAATTATCATCATCATAATTCCGATATCAACTAAATTATTTTATCTCGATTAATTGATCGTGATCAGTCATGACTATATAATGAAAATTATTCAGTTTACTCAAAAATTATAAATATGTAACACCGCTTTTACAAGTGAATTTATATTGATATGATTTAAATTAATGTATATAACTATAATATTATACAAAATTTATATAGATGCATATAACAACGCTGTATTTAAATATTATGTACTTTTATTTTAAAATTAAATTATATATGTAGTACTTGTATTTATATCTTACATACTATTACTTAATTTTATTACAATATCTTATATATGAGTTATACAATAATTAAAATTTATAATTTATTAATACATCTTTCGTAATTTGTATCAGCAATCTATTTGCATAAGAAATTAAAAATCCTTGCTACTAGTATTTTATATTCTTCTTATTAACTTGGGATAGGATAGGTAATTATAAAAATTTTAAGGCGTGGTGAATTTCTGCAGTTATCTTCAATAATATTGCAAAAATATATAATTACATAGTAATTAAGAAATTTGTTAATAATTGCTATTTTATTAGAAAACAAATTTATATTTTACATACATATCATTTATAATTTCTTAAATAAATAAATATATATAGATATTTCTATCCTACGATTATTATGTCTTTTAAATAAATTCAGTTATAATCTACTTTACGAAACTATATCATACAATATTACATTTTACAAAATACTTTTTATGGATAGTGGAAATACTCTTTAATTATAAAACTTCCATATATTAAGAAATCGCCCGTCTTTTGAGTCGAAAAAAATCAAGATGGAGAAGAAGAAAAGGTTTCGCTCTGTGAAACAGACGGAGATAAATATAGTGTCTCTGTCTTTGTCTGAAACATTCATAGTATCTATGTATACATACATGCGTGTTACGCATGCGCAGAACGGAACCTGTTTCTTGTCCTCCATCTTGATTTTTTTTAACTCAAAAGATGGACGGTTTGTCAATGCTTTTAGTATAGAATTGTCTAGATTTGTTTATGCGACCGTACCGTCACCAAATCCAGTGTTACATGTATATCAGTGAGAAAAACAAAAATTCATAAGGAGGAAAACAAAAATGATAAGAAATAAAAAAAAAATGAAATTACAAATAAAGAAATGGAAAAGATAAAGAAACAAGTGCTTCGGACAAAGCAAGGCAAGATCGGGTAGTTGAACTGTTAACATCAAGAACAGGTGGTGCTTGTATACCACCAGCAAAGTTATGAATAACATAAGTTGAGATCATTGATAAATCAGGAAGTCCATGCATAAGAAGTCCTAAAAAAATCTATACACGTTTACATTAATAAAGTTAATGTCAGTAATATAAGACTTATAATTCAAGAACTTGAAAGAAAATATTGTTAGAGGTAGAGGTTTGCTCGCTAAGTCTATTGTATAAGCTCAAGCAACATCATCAATGATTACATCCATTTATGCAGCCCTTACCACAATCATTAATTCTAAATTCTCAAATATAGGACACTTTAATATTGAAACATCTAATAATACAGTTTAAATGTTCTTTCAGAAAGAATGACAAAACTCTCTGTATATCTTCTGGGATATTTATAGCACATTTGCTAAATCAAAGAATAGCACTGAATAGGTAATAGGTAATGGTAAATAGAATGGCTGATGGATGACTCGGTAGAAATACCAATTGCATTAAATTAAAAAATTAATTGAAATTAATTGAAACTTCTAGAAAGGCTATCAAAGCTATATTATAAATGTCAAAAAATATATGAAGGACAAATAGATAAAAAAATTCAATACTTAATTGAAGTTATATTTCAAGTTTGAAAAGACAAATTTAAGGATCATGAAGCAGCTTGATCTTGTAGAAGAGGAAAATCCATTTACTTATTTAATAACATTAGATGAAACAACAGATTCTTAAGATATATTAAATGTATTCGTCCGATGCAGAATATATTAATAATGAAGGTAGATATAAAGAATTAAATAGAAAAATATTAAATCCAGATGTCAGTGATTCAGAGAGTAAAGAAGAAAATGACAAAAAAGAAAGTTCTCATGAAAATAGTAGTACTGCTATGGTGGAAAGGAAAGAATATAATCTACAATAATAGATAACACAGAGACAAATGTAACTGTATTTAAAAGAATCATATGTTTAATAATACATTCATCAAAATCAAATTGATTTTGAAGAGTATGCGCACAAATTAATGAAAATGCAACTAAAACCTGGTCAAGAAACTGAAGTATATCATATATTCTTAGATTGTTGTGCAGAAATGAAAACATGAAACATTCTCTAGATTGTTGACTAATCAGTTTTGTGCCATAAAATATATCACATCATTTAAGTTCAACTTTTTAAGATTTATATCATATTTACTGTACTATTTAGATACAAATAAATTATGTAATGTATCAAAATTTTTTGCTCATTTACTATTTACTAATTCTATATTGTAGAAAGTTTTCTGTTGTATAAAATTAATCAAAGACATTACAACAAGTTCCAATAGGACATTTATTAAAATTTTGTTTCAAGAACTTCCCGTATACGTGGGACTACGGAAACTTCATCAATATGTGAAAGACATCACGTTAAAACATGTATTTGATGGATTGTTTCTGATAAAACACTAGTTTCACAAGAAATTCTTTTTTTGTCCATTGATTTGGTTGGTCTCACAGATAATCTAAAGAAACATTTAAAATTGTATCCAGAATCTGCCATAAAAATTTATAAATAAATATAAAAAAGTATTTTTTATTTTGTGTAAAGTTTTTAAATGACCTTAAGAAAACTTAGCATTGTGTAAAATCTAGTTCTTAAAATTTTTACGAACTATTTCAAAATAACCTGTTAATACTAAAATTTCCTATAAACTAATTCTAAGAAATTATTTTCTATAACAATATTTTGTTTCTTAAGATGTTGTAATTTTGTCCCAAGATTCGTTTTTACACACAAGCTAGAGAGATTATAATATTTATACCATAATATTTATATAATATTCGTACAAAATTTCCTTTTATGTCGTTCGTACAGATTTACCTGAAAAGTATTATTTATAATATAAATTTATGTTATTAACAAGAATATTAAGTTTTTGTATTTAAAGTAAGCTATTACGGACACTATGAAGGTATGGTGTATGCGGCGCGTGTTAAGTTCGCCCTGACAATGAACGCGGAATAAATGCACTTCTATCCATGAGACCATGTGGGTGTACCAGCATGTAGCCTATTTTGACGGGGGAATCACGTGATTAAATACTTAGCCGTCGCCACCCGCCACCACGACTGTGAGCAGACCGACACTATGCCACAACCACAACCCATAGATACGTAGCTCAACCATTTCGTATCCTTCGGAAGCAAGCACGGCTAACCGAGGCTCATCTTTAACGTGCATACATATATGTGTGTATATATATATATATATACATCCACCACACACATATGTATACATCATACATTCAATAGATACGAAAGTACGATAGAGACGAAACTGCTAACGTGGTAGGTAGTGGTTAGACACACAGAGAGCGCGGTAGGAGGCCAAGCACTGGCTTGGTGTTCAGAAGCGGTGTTAACAAGGGCTACAGTGAACTTCGTTTGACGACATGATATTCGCGAGGCTCGTGTACAGTCTACGATAATCGTTTGTACCTAAACTAAAAAAAAACCATGAGTGTTCAACACGATCATACACATATACAAGACTATTATATACTATATACGTACATAAAATTATGTATTATATATATACATAATTAAGAGTACAATGCTCTATATGGTTACAAAGCTACACAATACATACATCTTTTATAAGTGCTATCTTCTCGTGTTTACATACTCGTACAGTTAGAGTGTACATGTGTAGATGTGTGCGTGCGCGCGCGCGCGTGTGTATTTGTGTGTGAGAGAGAGAAAAAAGAAGCAAGGTGGAGTATTTGTATCGCAAAAACGACGTTCCATGGGTGAGTGGGGAGGAGAATACAGTCTTGTCATAAGAAGTGCCAGTCTAAACAGTAATATCCAGACGAACTAATATCACGTGTAGACTGTGAATGATTCTTTCCCTTGTCTGTGTCATCGATGTATGTATTACATTGATAATTGATGTACGATGTCATAAAGAATAATGCGTGTCTTTTCGAGTAGTCGGTGTCTCGGTGCGATCGATATTACTCGGTCGCGATGTACCGAGTCGATTTATTCTCCAAGAGTGTCACTCGTCCTGGTGATGATATTCATCGATCGAACGTATCGTCGATATAATTACTGCGACAAATAGCATTAACGAGAATATTTAATTGGTTGTGTCGGTGGTGGTCATACGGTAACGACCGAGAGTGGCCAGTGTAAAGTGTAGAGTGACAGTGGCGACGACGGTGGCGGTGACTGCGACGGCGGCGGCAGCGACAGTGGTGGTAGAAATAGCTGTGGCGGTGGCGGTCGAATGGCGGTCGCGATCGCGATAGCTACTATAGGTGACGGTGGATACGATAATATCGCGGACGGTGACGATAGAAACGAACGCCAGTGATAACCAAGCTCGCGACACAATGCGCGTACATCGCTCCAGAGAACGTAAAACTGATATGAAAATAACGTAAAACATGGGAAAATATGCAAATGAAATCAGCGAGAGGTAGAAACGGAGCAAGTTGCGAGGAATAATTTCATCGATGGTGTATTCCAGTAGTGTATTGGTAATAAATGGAAAATTGAACAAGAACAAAACATTATACGGATTATACGTATATTGGTAGTGGAATGTACTGAAAGATTGAAAGAGAATTATCATGTACATGGAGGTTCCGTTGCGATGGACAATAGACTGCGGATAATATAATATTACAAGGGGAGAAGACACATGAACGGGTTAAGCTTGTTCCCGAGTGAGAAACAGAAGCAATGAAGATGGAACATAAGATGAACACTTTGTATCTTTAACCGAATGTTAAGCTTTTCCGTATAATGAGGAACGGGAGCTAATACGTCGAATTAAATATTCGGAGAGTGAACGTATATATTGTGGGTGTAAATACGCCTATATTATGAGTCGTACAAAATAGCGTGGTATGTCACGAGTCTCGGGAATTTCGTGTAAGGCTGTTTTATCTTCTGCAATTCTTTTCACGTAGATACGAATAATGGAGACGTTATTGCCGGGGAATACGAACAGTCAATCGTATAGCCCGCAGCTGAAGACCGTGTTGAAGACATATCAGTTATCCGCTGTGAAAAGCTTACAGGGCCCGAGCTCAGCCCTGCTTGGTATGGACTGCAAAAGTTTACTGCAGGAACAACCTTGTTACTCTGCCAACCGATCGAGTAGTTGCGTTATCGACTCCGAACAGATCTCCAAAGACACTGAAAAGGACAATAATTCGTCGGTGACGCCTATCGGCCCTTGCAAAGTTCGCAGAACCGATCAACCACTCGAAGATTCTGACGAAGACCCGCAATTGGAACGATCAAAAAATATCTGTGAAAAGAGGGAATTGGAGTTTCAGATACCCATTTTAACAGCTCCAGACCAAAGTTGTTCTGAAAGATGTGAGACGATCTTAGAGGGCGAGAGAATATCGTGTTTTGTTGTAGGGGGTGAAAGGAGGTTATGTTTACCACAAATATTAAACACTGTTTTGCAAGAATTTTCTCTTCATCAGATCAATCAAGTTTGCGATGAGTTGCAAATCTATTGTTCACGATGTACCAGAGATCAGTTGGAAGAACTTAAGCATTCAGGAATCCTACCACGCAATGCTCCTTCCTGTGGCCTTATCACTCAAACAGATGCCGAGAGGCTTGTCAGTGCTTTACTACTACGGACAGAGTCGTGCGATCCCTCTCAGATCGGTAATCAAGATAACATCGACAAGAAAGCATGTACTAAAAATGACAATGATGAAGAATCCATTGTCAAGTTTAAGGTGTATCATGAGTGTTTCGGAAAATGTAAAGGCATCTTTGATGCAAGTTTGTTTGAGTCAGATGATTCAGTGTGCATAGAGTGTATCGAATGTGGCTGCCAATTCTCACCTCAACGTTTTGTCAGACATGCTCATAGATCTCTTGAAAATCGTACGTGTCATTGGGGCTTTGATTCAGCAAATTGGCGGTCATATTTGTTGCTTTCACGAGATCAAGAACATTATAATAAGTCACTTACTTTGTTTCGAGAATTGAAGGAAAAACATCTCACATTGGGTTCCAAGCGAAAATCAGAGGTATTGTATTCCCATATTGCTTTCATAAAATTCCTAATTCCTAAATTATTTTTATAAGTAATATAATAGAGGCAGAGGATGATATTATGTTATATTCACAAAATATCTAATTTTACATAAAAGAGATATAAATGTCAATTAATATTATGATTTCATGATACTGCTTATATATCAAAAAATAAACAGAATGGAAAGAAGAAAATAAAGAACCCTTTTACAGTTGCGGCATGATTCAGAAAAAATAAAACGAATTAGGAAGGATATAGGAAGAGATGATTGTCCAGGAATTTATAATGGAAATGGCTTAGGCATGTATCATCCTGTATCTCAGGTAGCCAATGCAACTGATCCATATCTACAAATGTCATGGGCAGTCTTTGAATTAGCGGCTAGAGGAGCATCAGCTTTTAGACCATGGAATAACACAAATACTTGCAAGCATAAGGATAAGTAAGTATATTAAATACAGTTAAAACAATTTAAGATGTTTTATAACATGCTCTTAATTTTTCATAAACAGTTCATCATTGGTGCCTGCGTATCTCAGTCGTGGTCCACCTGTACTACAACATCCAGAGCACGTGGTTCCTCTCTCTGAATGCAAACGTTTTGAACCACACTTTCAACCAAATGTAGCCTTAGCACCTATACCTGCACCATCAGTGCCTGTAGTACTTCCACCATCTGCTCACCACCAACGACGACATCATCATGATCATAAACGTTATAACCATCACACATCGAGTTCTAACGAGAAGAAAGAAGCTTCGTCGGATAATGTCAAATCTGAGAAAATATCCCCTAGTTCTGGATCTAGTATTGGTGTATATTCTGCATTCCCTTCTTACACACCTGGAAGCAATCAGAAAGAACTGCCTCAAAAAACTAAACATGAAATAGGTGAAGAAGAAGAAAGTAGTGCTGCTGTAACATCGTCTACGATAAATATAGAACCACCTTTGGCTGAAATTGGAACCTCTTCACTGGAAAGTGATTCTGATTCGGAAGGAACGGCAGCGATAGATTTGGAGGAAAGGTTATTAGCTTTGGAAGCACCACAAGATGTTTTGGAAATGGCGCGACGCATAGTTTTAGAAAATGCACAATTACGACGTCATCGACGTTCGGATGCACGTGAAATATTACGATTACGTAATCAATTGCAAATGCAGCAAATACAATCATCTAATGATGGTGATAAAAAGGAGGAACCAACAAACGCAGCGAGTGCAGCAGATAGTACAGAAGGTAGTGAAGAAATGGAAGCTTTATTACCATCAAATAATAAAGAGTCTGAACCTGTTGTTCTAGCTGTTAGTAAAGAATAAAATCAGTGATTAGAGTTTTTTAAATTATTTAATACAAAACTGCTCAGAAATTTTTTGCAACGCTCATCTTTTATTGGATAAGCATGCATTAAATTTAGTACTAGTTATAATAATGATAATGATGAATTCTAAATAAATAAAAACTGTTTAGGTTATGTGATAAATAGAGAGCCTTAAACATTATAACCATTAATTTGAAATTTTTATTGTAATCATACTTTGTTTATGTCGATTTTAATTAAAATCGAATGTAGATATTGTAATATAGAGGAAAAGTAACATAAGTTAACCAAAATTTACCATGCCATTTAATATAATTATACTTAATAGTCTTTTTAACATGTTCCGTGCCGC